AGCAGGTCGAATTCTCTCCCGAGTTTAATATTTTGAAGGGCGCCCCTATGTCTTGAAACGTACAGCGCGCGCCGCGCGCCGGCGCGGCTACCAAGCGACTAGACTGGCTTTTAATGAGGTCAATGACCCACCTCCCAGTGACGGGAACAGGTGCAAATTCATTGCCCACAAAATACACCTGTTTTCTTCCATGTTTGTCGGCACCTACAGTATCGTAGTAGGGAAAGGTTTTATGCCTGGTGGCGGGGTAACTCATTTTCCGATGGTAGGATGAATTTTAACTGAGTGGCTTGTTGATGGCTTCATGGTTTCTTCGTATATGAAACAGCATATGATTGGCCCATTTTTATGTCACAATCATTTCGGTCTTAAATTTCAGCGATAGGTTTCAATAAGAAACAATTAAAACTGAATTATTGTTATAAATTTTACTGATCAAGTAACTTTCTGATTTAATATGTATTTAAGGTGAAATTATCTATTTTGAATCTTCACTCCTCGTATGAATTGACCAATGAAAAATGATTTTCTATAAAGTATTCGGAAGACTGAGGCATGCGCAATACGGGTTGTTGATTATTTTTCACTTCACTCGAAACCCGAAATGTGGGAGAACTTTCGTCGATGTAGCGGGTGATTTGACGGCGTTTTACGCCGTGAAAGGCAAAAGTGAAGTGAACTTCAAAATACGAAAATGGTAAGAATAATATATTAGTACTATTAAGAAGTGTTTATTGTTCAACAAGTTCCTTTTGTAATGTTAGCGTACTTTTAATGTGCTTTAATTTCACTATCGTTGATGCAACTGCGAGCAAATTGAACGCGTCGTCGGGTCGTCAAACTTTATTCCGACGATTTTTCCATGAACGAAAAATTTGACAAATTCACCCTCGGGAAGAACAGAAATAAGTCTATTCAGTAATGATGAAGAAGCTTTTTACATCAACCTCCTAAGTAACTGTATTTGTAAATTCTGGGTATCAAGGAAACCGTAGCAAGTTATGACCATGACGACATGAATCAGCCATGTCGCTGTCACTCGGCCTGCAATTTGTACATCCTAAATGTAACGTTAGGCAGTTAGCCTAGGCCTATTCGCATCTGAATACATGTATTTGGTTTGCCCTTTGCAAATGTTTTTGTTACTTAGTCACCAGTAGAGCTTATAGTTACAGTCTAACAGTACTAGTGATGCAATTAGGCCTACTGAATTCTATAGTTAACATCACGAACATGGTTAAGGCATTGTACATCGTGTCATGATTATGCATGTAGTATTTTGGATTAGGCGTACTTAGGCATGTTGGGACCAGCAAGCAGGGCAAGATGCTTCCGTGTCTAGAGGGAATGTACGTACGTTGTTTCTCATGCTCACGTTTATGGCTTTGAGTCTGGTGCTGGTCATCCTTGTGTGGTTCCTGTTCCCAGTATTGCAGTCGCATATTGCTTTAATGGTGAAAAAGAAGTGCACAGCAACCTGTTTAAAGTTTCTGTAACCAAAAACCACTGGGTATTTATTCAAACCTGTCCCTAATAAGCTTTCTTTAGATAAAAATGTATAAACTTGTTCTGGCAGGATTTAAAACCATGGCCTCCTAATTACCACTCAGTCCCCATGCGTATTGGGCTCAGCTGGTTGATTCATACATGACATGGTAGCAGGCTTTAAATCTGTTCTGGTAGGAGTGTGCTTGCGAAACTGTCACTCTTCGCAAGTGGTTTGAAAGCTCTGAGTATGCAATGTTCATAAATTACAATGGTTAAGAGCAAACGAAATATATTCAGAGTTTTCAAATGTGGAAGCAGTTCTTTTCAAAGTTAATAATTTCAGAACATGTCCAAAATGTGATTTGAGAGAATTCAAAATTATACCTTTTCAATTAGATTGTTTCTTTTAATAATGAAAGAAGCAGATTTAAAACAACCCCCAAAAGACTTTCCAGAATTAGGCTACACTTGTGCACTTGTTGGATAACTTTATCTGTTCGTAGCTCCAGATAAGACTTGCCCACCTCCATTTTCAGTGGTTTCTCTCAAAAATGGTTGATAATATACTGCTGGTGTGCTTGTGCAGAGAATTTACGCCATGATTTGAGTCAGCAGTCCCCAGTATAAGGAAAAAATCATAACCACCTGCATATACATGTATATAAATGTTAGACCCAATCCATTAACCCTAACAGTCCCAAATCCTCCAATTTCAATATGATTTTACATACATCCTTGGGGATTAGGGTTAAATCAGTTGACTGGGCTAGCCATTGGTCGATGGTGTATGAAATGTAGGGATTTACTTCTCCTTGTCAATGCAGTCTTCTACAATCGATAGTTAAAAAGTTTCAAGCAAGTTTGGCTGATAGCACATTGATTGACCAATGTATCGTGCAGATTGACCAATCAAGCCCAACATTCATGTGTAGTTGGTATGAGAAAACCACCATTTGTACATTTCATTGTTTAGCATGAGAAAACTGAATTGAAATTAAGTGATTTTTGTCTTTCAATTATTTCAGGAACTCACCCCCAGTGCCATGGAAGAGGGTAAGTGATAATGTTTGATAGCATGTCTGAAATTGTTATTGTTATATCTAACCGTTCATATGATTGTTTAGTTGTCCAATCAGTTTGCTTTCTGAATCAAATGAACATTTGCAGAGCTTTGATTTGATGTTCTTATGTAAGTACTATTAGCTACGCTACATGTATGGCTTGATCAAGTCAAGTATTTTGGGGAACAATCCTGATTCCATTCAGGAATCACTGTCCCAGTTTTGAATTAGTTCTAAATTTCTTCGGCAAAAGCATCAGTATCCATAGTATCGTTAAAGATCTACAGGAGAGAACAGCAAGCATTAACTTAATAAAGAGGCGTAACCACTCTCTCTAGTTGCAGTCATTTCTGTTGGCAAAATTGTCTTTGAGGAGTCTGGAGTTGAATCCTTGTAACTGGAGTTGAATTAGTTACACCTGAAAGGGTACAGTCAGGACCTTTCTCTCCAAATCCTGGCTCCACCTTTGACTCCATTGCAAGCTCTGCAACCAGTTATGTAGTGCCGGAACGACATAACTGCCGGAAAATAGGTCAGATATTTGCCTTGGAAAATATTCCATATGTTTGCCTTGAAGTGAACGACTTAATACTGGATGCTTTTCTGGTTGGCCGTGGAGTGGCATTTTTCCTCATGGAAACGGTGGAGTAGAATTGAGATTTAGGACCTCAAACTCAGGGGATTACCTTTGTAAACCTGGAACCCAAATCCAAAGATGGAAACAGCTGAGATTTGGAAAACTCGCCCTTACATCACATTTCAAGACTGAAATTGATTGTTTGATTCTAGGTGGTAGTATTAATGTGGCTTTGCAACGAGACTATTTATTTTGTACAAGGTGTTACACCTTGTACAAAAGAATAGATTCACACTGTGTCTTCAGTGTGGTGTTGGAACCTACATTAGATTCTAGTCACATAAACCTAATAGGAAGGTAACAGCGGTGTGTTGAGAAACAGAATCTGTGAAGTCAAGAAAGTCCTCTGTGTCTTTAACAGATGGATTGAAGAAATAAGCATAATCCAAACTTGGTTGCTTCTTTTTGTGATCACATCTCAGACTGGGAAGACAAGCCCCAGTTAACTCGCCAGTCCTCGTTAGTGGATGAAGGAATGAAGGGCAGGGCTGACCCATTGCTCAGCCAGGAGCCTGCTAGCGTGCTGCCTTCCTACGCCAGCCTCATGGACACGGATGTGGTAAGTTAATAGGCCGAGAAGTCATTCGCCTAAGATTTTTTGAAGCAGCAGATGGGCTTGTGATGGGGTTTTAATTGGGTTGCACTGATGCAAGTTTGTAGCTCCTTCAATAGAGAAACCGCATCTCAGAGCACCATCCTAAACTACTGATTCCCTAAATATTTTCTAGCCCTTTACCATAAGTCCTTTACAATTCCACCCCTCTGTGGGAGCCTGATAGCATACTCCTAGCCCTTCAGCTTTGAAGGGACATCAAGCCCCATGCAGAGCTACATACCTGATAAAAATTCTTCAAAATTCCCTCAAACTTCCTGGTTGGTTTTGGAAAATGTGGAAGAGAGAGGGTTCAGTACTGTTTCCCGTATGCCCCTGCGCATGGTATTTCTGTAGAACTCCTTCTGAAATGAAGCTGCTATGTTTTCCTAGGGTGTTCTTTGTAATTACGCGTACTACTTCCAGGTATTTGTAATGACCAAGCAATGCAAAACCAAAAGTACAAATAGTGCACATAGAATTATTTTGTGTGATTACAGATGTATTCTATATTTGTTAAACTCTCCCCTTCTACATCGTTATAGATCCATCAGGAAACTCTCTGGATTTTAGAATAATTTTAGGATGCCAGTTTCCAGCAAATAGCACTTTACACAAAGCTTGATGTCCCTTGAAAGTTGAGTGCTGAGAAAGTGGCAAAGCCTACCAGTGCCGTTGCTTGATTTGAGAAGATGTAGAGGGGTTCCCAGAATAAACAAACCAAGAGTCTGGCTGTAAGATGATGGCTAGTTTATGAGTTATCTTGTTCTCTTGAAGGGCCATGACTTCTCAGAGGACAAGCTGATGAAGTCAGGCAACCTGTACAGCCTCTACCTGCTGACCTCCGACTCTGGCAGTCCACAGCTCCAGACAAATGAGGCCCTGACAGATACACCATCCTCGGTGGCCAGCAAGGACAAGAAAGACACCAACAGCGGCGACACAGATGAGGAGATAGATGTGGAGACGGATGGGGTGAAAGACCCTACACCAGAGAAGGCTGTAGAGAACGGTCACTACGACGCACTGTTTGAGGGCATGCCTTTCACTGAACTGAAGGGCAAGGAAGTTGGTGAGTTCTTGCTCATTTCCAAATTTCGTGATGTCTCTATAGAATAAACGGCAAGGGTAGTATTCACAAAATTCTCTCCACATCAGTTTCCTTCACTATTTTCAAAGTGTTGATCCCTGTGTCTCTGACGTTCTCTGCAGAAAAACTGCATCTCTGTGGCTAAATACTCTGATACGTGCTAAAGATGGTTTCAGAAATACAAGCGACTTCTTCATCAATGCATCTACTGTATAGCATGCTTTATTTTAAGTTCAAAAAGAAGTGAAGGTCTTCCAGACATGGTATTTGGTCAAATGTCTCAGTTGTGATGTATACATTCAGGGTTTGACTATCAGCTACTGTTGTTGCCGAACAGGCGATGATTGAAACTTTGGCTGTAAATCTTGTATAGTTGGCAAGAAAACATATCGTGCCATCAGACCTTTAAAAAACACTGCGGCTGCAAAATATTCATTCAGCTGAAACTTTTGCAATTTAAAATTTGCTAGGTGAAATTTTGATAATCCATGTTAACAATGGTCTGCCTCTGGGAAGCTGTCCATTCTCACAATGTCAAGTCATAGCATTTGACACCATCTGAAAATACATCAAGTTCCCAATTCATGAGATGTAATGAGTCTGCTCAACTCAACCACGTATGTTTGTCGAGAGATTTTCACAAGGTATGTTTTTGCTTGTGTCATGTACCTGTGGCAGGACCTTGCTCCTACTGCAACCTGTGGCGCACCATTCGCTTCATGTCCTACTGTGGCCGGTTCCCCTTCTGCAGTGTGTACTGCACCAAGAAATTTGCTGTTTACAAACGAGAGAGAGGGGAGCTTTCGGAAAAGACACCAGAGGACATCAAGGCCATCAACAAACTCAAGGTATAGCAGAGCTGCCAACCAGTACGATTTTATTGTATTTCGTACGATTTTTCAGTGACAATACAACACTATACAATTTTTCTCAATAAAATACAATTTACAAAATAAAATAAGCTTTGTAGTTATTTTAGATTTGTACCTTTTGTTTGGCTTGGAAATTGACGATTTTCACGAGTTAATTTTGCGCGGCAACATCAGTCGTTGGCGATGTCGGAAATGCCGTGCAAATGCATGCAACACGCATGACCCCTTGTCTATCCACGAGGTCCTCTATTGTCCGAATGTCCGTTGCTGCTTCGTTTGTGCAGTTCATCTGTGCGCCGTACATAAACTACGGATGTATAAGCAAAATTAATCTTGGGCCCAGACTATGCATCGTGCTTGCTTGATCGTTCCCATACAAATCAAGCTCCAAGTTATGCAACGGTAAAGAATATGATTTTTTTTCGGAAAACAGGATTTTTAAGGTAAAATCATAGACTTTTTGGTCAAGTGAGGTTGGCAGCTCTGGTATAGAATCACTACAGGGCATGTACAGAATTGCCTCCTGTTCTTTCCAGAGCCGTACTTTTCAGACTGATACTATTCCTTCTAGAATGCTTATGTCAGAATGCTCCTATTCGTTGAGAATATTCAGTTAAGATACTCCTGTTCATTCCAGAATGCACGTGTTTCTTCTAGAATACTCTT